GCAGGCAGGCAGGCAGGCAGGCAGGCAGGCAGGCAGGCAGGCAAATCAGTATGTACCCGGGCTTTTAGCTCCGACACCCTTCTTTGAAGTTGATGTATATATTTGAAGAGTGAAATTGGCCTTACACGTCCTTTATCAATGATTGTGACTTACCAACCAGTACTCCATCGTGTATGACACATGCAACACTTCTGCCCACCAGAACACTTTTTATCAAACATACTGATATGACGTTCTCCATGCTTGCAGGAAGATCTGCACTTTCGGGAGTAACTGCCTTCATGTTCACGACCAGAACCGCAGTCGGCTGGAAAAAAAGATGATGGCATTGATGTCAATCATATAAGTAAGTATTCCACTATGTTAATCTAGTTTCCTAAACCGTAATTTGTTTAGGAATTGAATTTCAAAGAAGCTAGTAACAAAACGCAACGGGTTGATCATTTTACGATGTTTCTGACTTATTGAATTGTGCACCGTACTTGAAACAAATAATCATCAAACAAAATAATTTCATCTCTCGCCTTGATCTAAAAAAAAATTATTGTGCCTAAACCCTACTCAGTTTTTTAAAAATAAAACCGGTTTCGTGCCTGAATAAAAATGCTACTATATGTGGAGAGGCAATCCATAAAGGAAAGCAAAGTTACAATAGAAGCAAAGATAAAAGAAAGAAAACGTTTTAGGGAGAATTACGACTAAGTGCAAAATACAGAGGTACAGATTTTCAAGGAGTTTTACTCTTACTTGCTCGTTTGTCAAGCGAACCCTCGATGTGCAGAACCAAAGCCACGTGGAGGACGACAAGCGCCAAAATAATCTTGTGGATGCCGGCCATGTTAACTGAAAAGAAGGACAGACAAAGACATCTGTGTGTATAGGACAATCTAAGAAAGCAAGCAAGCAAGCAAGCAAGCAAGCAAACCTAAAGATAATAGGAAAGGGAGTGTCTAGCTCTAGATATGTAATAAATGTCTAATATATATGATAATATCCGGTACAATATCAAAGGTCAAAGTGATAGACATGATAGAAAGGGAGTTTCTGGCTAGATATGTAATAGATGTCTAATATATATGATAATATCGGATAATATCAAAGGGTAAAGCGGCAGAGATGTGAAAAAGGCCCTATTCTGAGAAGATATATTTATATCCTTTCGTTCGTCCGTTCCATTCTTCCTTCCCTTCCTCCTAGCTTCGATTGCATGGAGTATGGAGAATAGGAGTTGAATCTTCCAAGAAAAAGTCGCGAATTTTGCGTTTTAAATTGAATTAATTAGAAATAACGAGAAGGAGGGCGTAATTCATGTAAGTTTAAAAAAATCAAACTTGGACAAGAGAAGACTACTTCAAAGTCGCAGAATCAAATCTAACAATAATTGCACCAGTTCGTTTGCAAGTGAACAAAAACAGTTGTAAATCTTTCTGAACAAAAAGTAATTTTTCAAACATGATGTGCCCGTACCGCTCGGAACGAGCTACATAACAATAGATTGGTCATCCAAACAATAGCACTAAACCTAACCTTACAAAAGCGGTATTATACTTAGGGAGCAATGAAAATCCAGCTTTCGAGCGGTACTGGATTACTCGATGTGATGATCAAAAATTACTGAAGCACTCTTTTGGGTTAGATGCATATGAATGTTAGAACATCAGCTTTGGGAGATGATGGAGTACAATTTTAGAATCGTTGCATAGGTGAGCAGTCTGCAGAATGATTTCACCTGCGGATCGTAGTGCTTCTCTAAAAATTTCTCTCGGGTTTTCACAACCAGCCGTATGCAAACTTAACATTCTACCTAAACAATTTCAGAATTGTTGCATGGCTAAGCAGTCTGCAGAATGATTTCGCCTGCGAATCGTAGTGCTTCTCCGACTGAGAACTCCTCTCGGGTTTTCACAACCAGCCGTATGCAAACTTAACATTAACCTAAACGTATTGAAACCTAATTCATTTTCTTACCTTGCTGTTGATCGAAAAAGTGCTTGCCAAAGAATGACTATAAGGACTTTGCTGACGACCTAGATATATTACAAGGAATCTAAAAACGTATAATGTTTTCCATTTAATTTGTTGGCAGTCAATGATTGGTGGAAATAATCACGCGAAAAGTAAATAAGAACCTCATTGGCTACGAGATTCTGAGTAACATCTAAAATAAGCTGAAATATTATTTAAAATTAGCTGAAATAGCGAGACCCCTGGGCGCATGCGCGCATATATTTCAACTTGTTGAGTGCAATAGATTTTTTATGAGAATTAAAAGAAATGCTTGGCTTTTCCAGATTACAGAAAAATGTTCATAACTATGCTTTTGGTAGTCCAAGATATTGCTTTAAGAATAATAAACATATGATATTATTATTATTATTTTTAAGCTAGCAGCAGTAAGGGGGACTCGCGATCGATGCCGTATATTTGCGGGTTTAACCCGCGGAATTCCGAACGCGGGTACAGCAGATTTACGGGRTTTCCCGCGGTGTGTCCTTACTGCTGCTGTGTTGGGTACCGYAAACGGAGGTTAAAATATTTGTCGGATATACGATGCATGAATGTAAAAAGTTCACCAATGATTTCTGTG